TTGAATTGATTCCCACACGTAGTGACCCTACAGGATAGAGTAGAGCTGTACTTGTCGGTTTCTGACAGTCACTCTTGAGGGGAGTAGAAAGCCCCATCTTTCTTTATCCTGGACAGCAGCTGATGGCTACAAACTATTGACTTTGTGGTTAGAAGCCCAACCGTAGCCTACTCTGCCACCATGGCTCCTCCTTTCTTAGTGCAAGGGTAAATTAGAACCATATTATCTGTTCCAATTGACTTACATATTCTTAACGACACAACTAGAAACGGATCAATACAGGGACATTGATTTTAACTTGCGGAGTGATTTCTCACATCTGGTGCTAGAAATTGCTATGATTAATAGAAAGAGTACTGATAGCATAGTGGACTTATCTATTGGGCAGCTAACCTCAAGATCAGCAGTTTGAATCCGATTGCCATTCAGATAGTGAAAGATGAGGCTTTCTACTCCTGAGAAGACTTACAGTCTCAGACACGCTATGGGAGTTCTACTCTTCCCGTAGGTCAGTGTGAGTTGGAATTGACATATGGCAGGGAGTTTGGTTTTTCAGGTACAGCTAATAGAAACTGCTCAGTAGGACCCCACCCCACCCCCTTCAAGTGGTGTCTAGATCATCTGCCTATATGTGACTGTATAGCTGTAGCCATAAGGCTGCTTAACTAGTTTACATTAATTTAAGTAAGCAAGTTAGCTTACATTAAGCAAATTAAGCAACGAACCGCAACCTATTACTAATCCATAAAATGTCAGCTAAATATAAGCTGTTTTCATAAACATTTACATTTATATTTGTGATACCCTAATCATGATCCTTACTCTTAAGCCACATGTGCACTTTCAGCAATAAAAGAAAACCAAAGAAGAAAACTCAAACCACTGTCTTCTAGAGATTCTAGCTCATAGCATGCATAGGATTTCTGAGGCTTTACCATGTTCCCAGGAGCAGCTTATGGGTTCAACTGCTGATCTTGAGGTTAGGAAGCCAGCAGGCAACCTTCTCCCCGAGGGATCATACCCTCCTAACCACACTCAAGCTCACTGTCATCAAGTCGATTCAGATTAAGTGACCGTACAGGACAGAGTAGCACTGCTCCTGCAGGTGTCCAAGGCTGTCAATGTTTACAAGAGCAGAAAATTTCCCCTTTCTCCAGCAGAGTGGCTGGTGGGTTTGAATCACTCACCTTGTGGTTAGCAGCCCAATGCTTCCCTGAGAGTTAGTGCCACTAGGGCTCCTTTTAAATGATAGAGCAAAGCAAATTCATTTCCCATGTGGTCCATGGAAACGTGGCCTTGATAGATTTTTCTTGAGTCTCATATAAATACTAAGCCTTTCATATATTTGTAGCACATGTACTATGACTTAAGGAAATTGGGATTGTCTGTGCTGCCCATACGTGAAAATGGTAAACCGGCACATCACCAGCGGGGCTGGCAGAGTGTGGCCTGTCCATGCACTGATTTTCCAGGATGATTATAGATTTGCATCCATTTGGCTTCCTTGTTTGGTCCAGGCTCTTGGAGGATGGTAGCATGCACCTGGAGTGGTGTCGACAGCAGAGGAGAATTTGCAAAACGGTCTGACTGGTGACTGTGTGACGTGGTGGCCCCACACTTGGTCTCATTTGTTTAGTGTTCTAGCAGCTGCGCTAACTCGTTTTCAAAACAGAAGTAGACAAACTAGCAAAGATTTACGGTTTTTATTTTTCCTTTCAAAAGAAACATCTCCATTAAATTTCCAAAATTATTCCTATTGTGTCATAGGCTCAGATGAGCTATAGTAACGAATTTTATTTAAAACAATAAAATTACTTAAGCATAGTAAAGGGTCTGAAAAATAGTAATTTTTAACACACTGAAAACAGAATTTAGAGTAACAGAAACATCCTCTAAAAGCAAAGACAGAACACATATGCATTCACAAAAGCCACTGCCTTTTTAAAATGGCACCTGGGAATCTCAAAGGTCTCACGTTAAATGCTAGTGATCTCACCATCAGACGAAATGAACACGAGAAGAGGAGCATGAACTTGAATCTGGTCAGGATTCTAATCATGCAATGATACGTCACAGTCACCACTTTCTTAATCTGTAGAATGGAAAGCACGGCTTGAAATGGCTAAGAACCTTTCCAGTTTTGAAAGACAAATAATTCTTATTGTCAAACATATTCTTTAATATTCAGGTTTTTTGTTTGTTTTAACCAAAAGACAAAGCTAATGTAATGTTCCATGGCCAAAATTTTTGAAAGATAAAATAGGTGTTTGCTTTTTAAATAAAAAAGTGACTGAGGTTTAGAACAGAATAATATTACTGTACGAGACATCCCTAAGGAGTTGTTTTCCCATTTTAAAAAACTCATGGTCACCAGCACATTATGGAATATGTTTTCTTCAACTATTCCGCGTGCAGCACTGCAGTGTGATTGTCAAAAGATTTTTTAGATTTCATCAAGGTGCTTTTCAGCTATTACTGATTCTAGATGACTTTCTGTCTTATCTCTCTTTGCCTGTAACAAGCCCTTGCACAAGTATAAAACGGAGACCCGATCTCTGTCATCATTTCACAGTTGTGGTAAGAGGAAAGCTTGTAGTGAATTGCTTTTAACCTTAAAAATCCTTATGGTGTCTCTATTTTAGTGCAGTCTTTGGAGAAAATATTAAAGCATAGGAAGAAATTATATGGAAAACTTCCAAACTAGAGTTGCATAGCCTTTAACATCCTCAACAAGATATGATTAGTATTGGAATATCAGACTAAAAGGCTGTCTTAACAGAGTATGAGAGAATTCCTAAGGAAAAAAAAGAAAATCACAGTTCCTGTTAATTAAAAAGACAAGGAACAAAGATATGCTATTTCTAATTAAATATTGAGATGAGCATAATCCACATTTGCTGCCAATCAAGCTATTTAAGAGGATTTCTGTTTTGTCATTTGCTCATTTATTTCAAGTAAGCCTGATTTTCACCCAAGTTTGCAGTTCCTTTCCCTTAAAATATTCTATCAAATGTGCTTCAAAGTCTCCTAGTGCAGTATGTGAGACAAATCTGCATCTTTACAAACCTACCTTACAGGTCACCAACGAAGTACACTCTTGGTAGTAAAACTGATCTTGCATACATTAATGTTACAAAATGAATGGTGACAAGAAAGGAGGAGTTACCAATCAGGGTCAAATAGTTGCATTATTCTAAAATCTATGCCCTTTTAAATAGAAATCTATTGGACATTTTGATAGCTTCTTAAATTGAGAAATGTATCAAGGGCTTTATTTTTTAAGTGTGTTAGTAACTTTCTTCAAATGAAACTTGCAAAGGATAAATGAAGGATGCTTTTCTTGAGACCTTTGTTAAGCTCAGTCATGACTAAAGTGTATTACCAACCAAAGTGAAAATTTAAAACAAGTACATTTAGATGTGATAACACTTGTACTTTCATTTCATTTTTCTATATTCTCTATACTTATTGGGTTATATAGCATATATTGTCCCAGGAACTTAGAATGCCATATAGGTTTACAAATTTATGGTATGTGACCACTGAGTAGCAGCAATTAGTTTTCAAATATAATACCTATTTTATACCTTAGGAGGTTTCTGTTTTCAAGTATTGGGAAATAGCAAGGAGTCATGTAAAAGAAAAGAAAGCAGGGGCAACTTAAGATGTTTAAAGCAAAAAAAAAAAAAAGAAAACCCCAAGGTTGAATAAAAAAGAGCAAGCAATCATAAATACATAATTTTAAAAAATCTACCAAACAGGCAAAAATTCAGCTTTACTTTACCACAGATTCTACAGGGAGTTGATAAGAACAGCTTGACTAGGGCACCTCCTGCTACTGCTTTCCTGAATCTTGACAAAAGTACAATGTTTAACTGCTAGAGTATCACGTGACTCAGAAGGAAAAATTCTGCCTAAGAGACTACATAAATATTTTAATTTGTAGTCTAAAATATCTGCAGACTTTAGCAACTAAAGTCCAGTTATTCCTATGGCAGCGTGCTATTACTCATTAGATGTTTTCAGTACTTTGGGCAGTTTGTATTTTCATTTTTCTTTATGAAATAATGGCAGCCAGCCAAGTTATGGATTCCTGGGGAACATTTAAAGTGCTTAATGGAATATTAAGTATCATATAGTTAGCCTTTTCTGGGGTAATTATAGAACTGAACCCATAAGTAATGAATACCATGGTATTTCATAAAATGCACCTTACAAAACTTAATGGAGATCAAATTTCATATTCTTAACATTATAATCTAATCTAAACAAGGAGTCTGCATATTCTTAGCCCTACTTTGAAAGCTTCATTTAATTCAAAGAAGGAAACAGCAAAGTTTTCTATAACTCAGAGTAGTATCTGATATCATTTTATTATGAAAACATGGAAAGGTAGAATTTATTTAAAGCATAAAGATTGTGGCCAATTTCCAAAGGAAGAGGACCACCGGGCCAAGGCATGGTAAATTGGCTAAGTTAAGTTTAGGCCACATTAGATAATAGTTCTAAGGTTAACTAATAGAATTTACTTTTAAACTTACATAAGTGGCAGATCATAAATTCTAAAACAGGAAATCCTTATCTGTTACTGATAACATCAATTTATTAACTTAATACTTTTATTTACACCTGTGTGTTATTCCTCTTGATAGTTAACTTATCATTAGCCAAGTTAAAATCAAAATACCTTCAAATTCTTAAATACTAAACTGAATTTAAGAACTTATAATTAGTTATGGTATTTGTTTATGGACACAACATACAACACTCATTATTTCTTCAAGTTCATATTCTATCAGAATTTTTTGTTAACATATTACCTAGTTCTTTGGTAAACTGTCTAACACATGTTTGGTTAAAAAAAATTCTCAAGAAAGCCTAACTGTCCAATGTATGTTATGATCTTGGGGAATATTTTTAAGCTTTTTAATGTTTTCTTTCAGAGCATTCTAAGACACTTCTCTTCATACATCTATTTGCATATTTGTTTCACACTCTGCTCTAAATCATCCATAAAACAATTTCATATGGACAGTCTTATGAAGTAAATATGTTTTGTCTTAACAATAATTTCCATTAATCGAGAAAAACCTCCAAACTGTGACCTGTTTATATCACATAGAACTTGTCACCCTTACCAACTTTATATTGTGCCTACAAATTTCTTTCATGAATAGCCTTTCTTTTTGGACCAAAAGGAGTCTATTTTGCACAGATATCCAAACTATTTACATCCTGACAGGATCACCATTTCTAAAACCATCTCCAAGTCTACTTATACAAGACTCTGCTCCAATACAATTCATAACTGTGTTACCAGCTTAATTATTTATTCCCACTATTCAATCTTATTCCCCCTAACCATTTTGTCAAATAGCAAACTTGGACACAACTATTAATTCTTTAAGAACCTTTATTGATTTTTTTTAACAATTCAGTCTGTTGGATCTCAATGCAGTTTATAAAAAAAACACAAAACTTCAATATAGTTGCATATAAACTGCAATCAAAAAGGTAATTATCTGAAGTTGCAAGTTACTTTTTTGTAATATGCAGAACAATAAAATGAAGCATGCTCTTGGATGCATGGGCTCCTGTGTTCTAAGGAGTTATGTGAAGAGCTTGCTAAGGTCTGCAGGCAGTTGATAGAATGCAATGGTTTTCTCCACAATTTAGGTACATGAAAATAAAACTGGTATTTATGAATATTTTTTCTCAAAAAAAAAAAAAAGTTGAGGCAGCTTTTGTTGAGCACTATCTGCATGGGTATACTGCCTAGATCTTGAACTGCACTAAGAAACAGACAGCCAGGAGTCCACGTTCATGCTGAAACTTGAAATATCCCTCCACATGTGTTGACGGGTTCCAAGGAACGGGAGGAGGGTAATACATTATGCACAGTTGTTCATGTTCTACATCAACAGAACACACGGAGAAACTTTACATAACAAGGAAGTAAATTCCCCTCACTGCTTTCAGTCAAAGTCAGTGGTGTCTATATTGGAGGACGCGAGTGCTGCAAGCCTAGTTGCGGAATAAAAAGCAAAGGTCTACATCTCATGCAAGGTGGTCCTTGTGCTGTCCGCTTCAATGTTTCTCAGACATCGGAATTAGAGCTGAGGTTTGTCAGCCTGGGATCCGCATTGATTTCATATCTGTAATGATAGCCTTCCATGTGATCCCTGCAGGCATCCCTGATGTTATGCATCCACTTTTTGATCCCCTTGCGGTTCAAATACAACACCAGGAGGAATATAGCTCCTATCAGGGCTAAAACAATACCCAGGAAGACATAAGACGTCTGCAAGGATGGGGGGAGAATTGGGTCACAGTCCAGGTCGGAGCTGTTCAGTTGCAAAAGGGCACGATCCCTCATTTTTTCCGGGAAGGCACAGGTGAGCCGGGCTTTACCCTGCACCGCCTCGGTCTCCTTAAGCCAGGCCACCATGTCGGTCATGTGGCAGTCGCACACCCAGGGATTGTGGTCCAGGAAGACCCTGGCATGAGGCAGGGCCTGCAGCTCTGCGAGGGTGCCATTGTGAAGGACCTTGAGCGCGTTGTCCTCCAGGTGGAGGCTTTCCAAGTGCGTCAGGTTGCGGAAGGACACGTAGGTCAGGCTCACCAGCGAATTGTTGCGCAGGTCCAGGTGCCTGAGGCCTGGCAGGCGGGTCAGCACGGCCCGGGGCAGGTAGAGGAAGTGGTTGCTGGCCAGCTCCAGGCGGCGGAGCCCACGCAGCGCTTGGCCTGCCTGCAGTGCCGCCGCCACCATGCCCTCGAAGCTCCGGTTCTGGTGGTCCACCGGCG